AATTTGAATGATTAACAATACTGAATACTGTCTACTGTACTGAAACTTCCAAAGTCTTATCCAAGCCCTGAAATGAAATTTCGTGGATCTTAAAAAAGAAGACTTTGGAATACCTTTTTTCTTATTTGCACTTGACATAAGCCAAAGGCATCTATTAAAATAAAAAAGTCTAATGTGTAGGAAATGGCCGGTATCGCTCAGTTGGTAGAGCAGGGGACTGAAAATCTTCGTGTCACCGGTTCAAATCTGCTATTGACAATAAGGATAATGTGTAGGAAATGGCCGATATCGTTCAGTTGGTAGAGCAGGTATCACTGAAGTACCGCCAGGCTTGCTGTCTTAAAAGCTGGTACATTTTTAAAAGTATTTAGAGACAATTTATAGGCCAACTTAAAGGCTGAGGAGGACCAAGGAAAAAAGCAATAAATTTTCCCTCCATTTAAGAATCGAAACTCCCACAACAACCAAACCCAAAAATCAGAAAGAAATGAACAAATTGAGCAACTCAGTGATCGGGCTACTGAATTTCTTAACCCTGTTAGGGTCAATCCCAATCATAGGGGGAGCCCTGTGGATGGCTAGGAACAGCACCACCTGCGAGGCGTTTCTGCAGACGCCGCTGCTGGTGCTCGGGTTTTTGGTGCTTTTGATTTCACTGGCGGGGTTCGTGGGGGCCTGTTTCAACGTTACTTGGGCACTATGGCTCTATTTGTTCGCCATGTTGCTGCTCATTGCTACGCTTTTGGGCTTCACCCTCTTTGGCCTCGTCGTCGCCAGCAAAGGTGGCGGCGGCGGCGATGGAGGCGAGCATCGGTTTGGGGATTACTCTGTGTGGTTAAGGAATAGAGTTAATAATCCTCAGTATTGGGTTACTGTTAAGAGCTGCATTTTAGGGTCTAATACTTGCAACCAGGTTTCTTCTTGGACTCCTCTTAATTACTTGCAGAAACAGATAACTCCCATTCAGGTACTCTCCTAAATTGTCAATACACTTGCTGGTTCTATGATCAAACTTAAACAAGTCAAAATTTTGGTTGCAGGCGGGGTGCTGCAAGCCACCGGCTTCATGCACCGAAAACGTTCAAGATCCCGATTGCTACCGGTGGAATGGGGTGCCCAACGTGCTGTGCTATGACTGCATTTCATGCAAAGCAGGTGTGCTTGAGACTGCAAGAAGGGACTGGCATAAGCTCACAGTTCTCAACATTGTCATGCTTATTTTTCTCATTTCCGTTTACTCTATCGGCTGTTGTGCATTTCGAAACACCAAACGAGCTCAAACGGATTACGCGCACGGCGAGAATCGCATGATCAAAATTCAACCCACATGGGATCACAAGATGTAAGTAGTAATCTACCGCTATCTTTGAAAGTTTCGTACTTATTTACCATTATACTTAATGAGAGAAGCTTGTCTTACAACTTTTGTTCTTGCAGGCGGAGATGGTTGGAGGACAGGAGGGAGCTATACTAACTGTTGAAATCCCATCTTCTATCAGTGTCTGGTTTCCTAAGAGCTAGAAAATTCAAGTGTTTTTCGATTCCAGTGAAAGGGAATGGGCATTTTCAGGGCTTTCTTTCTTATGCTGTAATCATAGGCTACTTTAAAGTACATGATGAAGCCTCTCTACTTTTTATCACAATGTCGCACTATTGCTTTCTTTTTTGCCTTTGAAAATTACTCAACATTCAATAGCGACATGTGTAAAGTTTGCCAATCTAATTAGATCATTATGATGGAAGAAAACGCGTCAAACACACACATAAATGATAGATTACCTTGAATCTTGAAAGTTACTTCATCTGGACCAAGTCTGGTTTGCAGCTAATCTGGTTAGATTCCCAATAAAGGATTCAAATTAAAATTCACAAAGTAAAAAGGAGAAAAAAATGATTTCAAATAGTTAAAAATATGTTCAGAAGAGATTTTAACCATCTCGAACATTCCGAGCAGAGCAGTGGAAAAAACTTGATGAAATTCTACTCGTATATATATATATATCCGGCTGTATACAGATAAAATCCCCAATGCTGCAAAGCACAAACGAAGCAACATATTTTTTTTTTTTTTTGTAACTCTTTATCACATAAGGAATGTGCAAAACAAAATTGTATCTTAGAAAAAAGAAAAGAGGACCTCTTGATGTACTGCACAGTCCCCAAGTTAATCAACAAACATAGGCCCTAGCAGATGACCACATATAATCAATCAGACGCTATCCGTTGCATCCCTTCCCGACTCTTGAGCAATTCTGGCTGCAGCCAGTTTCTCAGCAGCCAGTCTTTCTTCCAAAGCTCTAGCTCCCCGTTCTCTGCAACGAGTAGAGTGTTCAAATTTTATAGAGTATTCTCTCCTCTCCTCTCCTCTAAGTTTTTTAATATTTTTTTTTTGTTACACACATTTCCTTTATGTTTATAACATTCTTTACTATTCTCTCCTCTAGATTTCCTTATGAGTTGACACCCTGTCACCCCCCTTTGTATGGTTTTTCTTTTTGAAAGAGTTCTGACAACAATGTTCTTCAATGTGGGTGATTAATAGGGCAACAACTTGTACAGACAAAGCACAGAGACGAGCAAAGGATGCAAATAATGAGAGAAATGTCACCACGCAGGTAGATGCATAATCGTTAGGTGAAAGGAAATCAATACTTGAAACTGAAAATTGTTCATAAAATAATTTAATTTAAAATTTAGCCCCTAATTTCTAGATGATAAAACAAATTTAGAACCCCTAATTTGCCCCCAAAAGAAAATTTAGAACTCTTTCCATCTTCTTGTAATTTTCTGTTCTGTCCTGTCTACCTCAAACCATTTAAAACAAAAATAGTTACTAAAATCAGTTCCTTCTGCAAACTATAGAACACGCTAAAAGTGGAAAACACATGTAGTATGATTGAGTTTTTGAGCTAGGAGAAAAGCATTAACAAATATTACCTCCTTCGAGATGCCTCAATGGGATCTGAACCGGGCAGCGGGGTGCCTCCAGCAGTATAGTCCTCAGCATTGTTAGGGGATTCAGATCTTCCACAAAGAAGACGATGAAATACTGATGCAACTGGATCAATGACTGGCCTGCACAAAACCATCAAGACTGAGAGTACAGTATGGAATATGGAGAGAGAGAGAACACAGAATATTCCTGAAACATGGGAAAGAGAAGCTTAAAAATAGAAAAGGCTTCAAAATAAAACTGTATACCGTAAAAGTTCAGGGAAGAATGTAGAGAATGCAAAATCATCACTTGGATCGCCTTTCAGTTTTGCTTCAGGTTTCCTCTGCCAGTATCTCAGATAAATCCAGCTGATGTATGTCCCAAATATTATTGTTGGAAGATATGTTGCTGCCCCAGTTGTCCAAAAGCTTACAGCAATGGATACAAATACAGCAAGAGACGGTAACCACTGCATGAAATTGGAAGCAAAAGATCCGATGAGGTTCAAATAAAACTCTGATAAAAATTATTTGAAATATGGATATACCTAACTACATATTTCATACCTTAGCTCTTAGTTTCAGTACAGGTAACTCTTGATCAGGTATGATTTGTTTGATCCCAACCAAGAACCCAGCTAGAATCCCATAGAAACCAGATACAGGGAAATAACTGAGACCACAAAAAGATGTAAATAAGATGTCTGGAAAGCCTGAGAGGCAAAACAGACACGAAACATGCTTAAAAAGGACTTGATAAAGGGAATGAATCAGACAAAATTGATTTAAACGAAAATCAAATTGGATTAAAACAGCCTTAAGTGATGAAATCCGCAGAATGATCTATCAGCTAAAGACATGAACACATGTACGCCTAAATGGTGCCACTGATGCACGAGGACTCAGTAGCACTTACAGATAAATTTCCTCCTGCATAATATAGTACAGGGCAATCGCTGTGATAAAAACACATAAAGAAGTTAGAAAATTGACTATAAAGATGAACTTCAAAAATTCTCTAGAGCCCCATATGGGTTCAAGCAGCTTCCCAACAAAAAGAAGACCAACTGTGCTGACAACAACCTGCAATATATGGCTCTCAATGAGTCGAACTTCTAGTGTAGACTCACTTAAAATAGTGAGATAAATTCTAATTGTTATTGTAAATGGAACAAAATATAGTGTGTGAAAATGTGAGTGCATACCCCGTATACTGACTGTTCAACATAACCAGCAGTTAAGAGATTCCAGGCAAAAGGTATTGTCCTACAAAATAGAAGCTCAAAGGAATGAATAACCCAACCATTTATAGCTTACATGCTTTCCGTTTGAATTGAACAAATCAATAGTTGGTTAGATATTAAGGCCATCTCTGAACTTAATCAATTCCTATACTACAGAGGAAATATTTTCACCTCATACAAATAAAACAAACTAATTAATTAAAATGGGTACATATTTCTACATTAAGATAAATAATTTTATTGATATAGTCAAGAGCCAGAGATTCAATAGAGCTATCTTGATAACTCTAAATGTAAGAAGGGAGCAATGAAAAATGTTGATAGAATACTGAAAGATAACGACAATTTTGATATTTAGATGAACAGGCAATGAGAAAGAACTATAAATTTTTCACTCCCAAATTCAGTCGCAAGGGAAGCTTCCTACGTGGAATGCATCATGATCTCTGCATCGTAAGTTTGTAATAGGATAGGCAAGTATCACAACTAATCTATTTAAGTGTTTAAATGTATGTCCACTAGTGACAAGAATTCAAGACTTTCAGTTGATCGAGATTTCATTGCCTATATTATCACACCAGTCATCATATTTTGCCCAAATTAATGGGCCTTCGACTCTTTGGTATGCGATACTTTTCTCCATTTTGATTTTTGTAGCAAATTCAAGGTTGTTTGAGTTACTTTTAAATTAAATATTTGTTAGGTTTCCCTAAGAGATGTGAATTCTCTAATAATTAGAATGATTTCAGAAGATGTCAAAGATCAAGGTCATATTAAATGCATGCAGTTTCAGCTCTTCGTTGAGTAGTTGGGTAGGAAAGGAAGACTTTTATTTTCTATCAAAAATATTAAGATGGATAAATTTCAGAGAAAGAATATTTATATTATACCTCTTGCTGGTCCAAGAGTGTGAACATTCAGATTTTGGGCTCATTTTTGTACATTTTTCCTCTAGATGGCTTGATTTTTTTCTCTAATTTCCTTCTCTAACAGAGGATATCTTTCTCTACATTTTCACTTAATTTCTTTTTCCCTATCAGGAAATTAAGCCAATTCAGAATGGTAAGGGATTCACATTTCACACTCAAGTGGGGATGCTTCCTCTAATTATTCAGCAGAGTTAATAATTCAGATTGGTTAGCAGCAAAAACATCTGGCAACATGGACGAAATGACATCTTTGGATTCCTCACTACCAAAAAAAAAAAAAAAAAAAAAAAAAAAAAAAAAAAAAAAAAAAAAAAAAAAAAAAAAAAAAACAAAAAAAAAA